ATTTTTAAAACGACAACAACAAACATGACATGGCCAAGAGGCAAAAAAGGCAACTCCAACTGACAACAAAAAATGGGAAATTATCAGACGACGTGCAAATGACGGAATCTCGGTTACAGCTCCAGGGAAAATATTTCTTTTTTATTTTACAATTTTAATGAGACAACATTACAACAATAACGAAAACAAAAACAACAAAAAAAAAACAAATAAATGCAGGCTATTGTTCCGCAGCTTCCTGACATGATTTATTGGCCCAAAGACGCGTTTGCAATTGAATGTTATGCAAATTATGACGGAATCGACGAAGTAACCACGATAAGACCTCAAATACCGAAAACAACTGACAAAGCCTCTGGGGAGGATGGAGGAGGAGAAGGAGGAGGCTGAAGAGTATAACGATGATGATGGAAAGTGTGATAGTGGTGTAATGACACTCAGACACTAGGAAACCCTCAAAATTTTGAAGAGTAGGAAGTTCCCAGGAAGTGCTGATGATCATCATCCTCATCTTTGGCAAACGAAAGCCAGTCTGAGATCTACAAACAATGAAATATTATTGTTGATGGGAATTTTCATTTTGATTATTAAAAATAACAACAACAACAACAACAAATTCCGTCAGTTAATAAACAATACCAAATACAGGCAATTATTTAGCAGAGCATAGCCGCCAAAGACGAAGTGTGAAAACCAAGTTTTCCACTTGGAATTATTTCACTTCACCGCACGGCGGCTGTCCATCTTCTTCATGGTAGGGTGATTTTTTCGGTACTGCATTTGCTGGCCACGGAGATTTGTTTCTTCTGCTGCTGCTACTTTTTCATTTTCTTTTTCTGAAGCCAAGATTAATTGCAGATTTTCGTTTTGTTTTAGGTTTTAGGAAATGTATGGGTTTTTTTCATTTAAATTTTCAATGAAAATTTTCCAGTTAAAACAAAAAATGTTAATGAAATACTTTTCCAGATTGTTTATGGGTGGTGTAAATGAAAAGAAGATTAATTAGATGAGGTTAAGATATTCGAGAAGAGGTTAATTAAGGCCTTCTCCTGAGGCATAGAAAATAATTTTATTTAACGATTATTATGAAAAAATCCTTTTTTACTTTTAAAAAAGGAACGCTTTCCCAAAGAAAAGTAATTTCGGGGGGTGGTTCCCAACCGTCGAAGAAATGAGATTTTCAGGCAAATGTTTAAAAAAATATCTACAAATTTACCAGGTTGTATTGGTACCATACTCTCTCTTTTAGAAAATTCCTCTCTCAAATGGGCTGAGGTCTAGTCATCTTTAAATGCTCTCTTTGAGTCTATGAACTTCATAGTATGAAGGCTCCAGTATCGGCCGTTTGAATTTGGTCATTCCACTTTCTCTCACTTGTAGTTTCTCTCTCTCTCTCTCTCTCTGTTATATATAGATGAATTTTCAAATATATGAAAAAATCGCTTCAAAAGCTCTCTTTAATTCTATGGAACCCTCAAAAAGTTTAAACTCACTGGCTGTGTCGGTAAAAAATCCCTCCCCCGAAATGGTCAGGGTCTAGTCATCTTTTAAAGCTCTCTTTGAGCCTATGAACCCCCCAGAATCAGTGTATTCTATTTGGCTTTTTGCATCCCCAAACGGATTGACTTCAGGTCACCCACAAAGGCGCTATTTGGTTGCGTACAGTGTCTCCCTCCGGGTCAAAAATCTAGTCACATTTAAAAGCTCTCTTTGGCCCTTTTGGTTCCCCAGAATGAATTACTTCTATTGGCCTTATTTAACCCACAAAGGGGTTGACTTCAAGTCAAACATTAAAACCCTATTTGCAATTGCTTCAGAGTCTCTCTACGGGTCTGAGGTACAGTCAACCTTGGAAGCTGGTGGCCGCTAAAAGGATTGCCTTCAGCTCACCTTTGGAGGTCCTATTTTTATATGCCTACAAAGTCTCCTCCGGAGGTTCTATTTGGTTGCCTATAGTGTCTCACTCCGGGTCAAAGATCTAGTCATCTCTATTTGGTCCTTTGTATACCCCAGAATGATTGTCTTCTATCGGCCCTCATTAACCCCAAAAATCAAACATAAAAAATAGTTTTAATTGTTACAGAGTCTCTCTTCGGGTCTGAGGTCCAGTCATCTTTAAAAGCTGTGTGCCCCAAGAAGTATTGACTCCTTTCGGCCATTTCAACCCCCAAACGAGTTGAACCACAGATTTCATATTTTGATAGTTTGAAGTGTATACCTCCGAATCGTTGTGTCAAGTCATATTTAATAGCTCTCTTTGGCCCTTTAGTGCCCCAGAATAATTGTTTTCTATTGGTTCAGTCATCTTTATTTTGGCCCTTTGAACTCTCACAATAATTGGCTTCAGGTCGCTTATGGAGGCACTTTTTTAATTGCCTACAGAGTTTTTTACCCATCTCCAGGACAGAGATCCAGACATCTGTTTGGCCCTTTGGATCCCCCAGAATTATTGACTTCTATTGTATCTTTGAACCTCCATGGGATTGGCTTTAGGTCATCTAAAGAAACCCTGTTTTAATTGTCTACAACAGCTTAAAATTATCACCGTTTACCGAGCTGTCTTCTATCTCTCTCCCTCTCTTTTTGTTCCCCCTCTCTTTATCCACCCCTCCCTCCCCATATTCTCTCTCCATTTTTCATAAAAAATTAAAGATTATTTTTTTGTTAAATTATCTCTCCCATTTGCATTTTCTCCGTCTCTCCCTCCTCCCCTCTCTCTGTTAAAATTTTTATATTATTTTATATTTTTTTCCTAAAACATCATTTGTCAATTAATGACTTTCTTCTTTCTTTCTTATGGAAGCTGCCACCGTTTGCTGAGTTATCTTCTATCTAGCAATCATTCCCTCTCCCTTCCCACCTAATGTAGATTCTTTTCCTGTTACATGATTCAAGGAAAATGTTCTACCCTATTCCATAGAAAATTATGTATGATTTTTTTATTAAATTGTCTCACCAATTTGCATTTTCTCTCTCCATCTATGCTATATTCAGTTTTCCCGCCATTTGAACCATAATTGTTTTTTCTAAAAAAATCATCTATCAGTTAATGACTTTTTTCTTCTTTTTTATGGAAGCTGACACCGTTTGCTGTCTCCATCATAATCTTATGTAGATGCTCTCTCTGTTATATTATTTTTTTTTTCAAGGTAAACGCTTTACCATATTTCATAGAAATTTTAGAATGATTTTTTAGTGAATTTTGTCTCTCATTTGCATTTTCTCTCTATCTCCCTTTCTCTTTCTCTCTCCCTCTCTCTGTTATATGATTTTTGCAAGGAAAATACTCTACCCTTTTCTATGACATTAAAGATGATTTTTTATTGAATTATGTCTCCCATTTTTATTTTTTCTCTCCCTCTCTCTCCTCTGTGCTAAATATAGTTTCCGTGCCATTTGTCCCCAGCGATGCCAACTTAGTGCTTTTCGCGCTATTTTTGGTGCTTTTTAGACCGCCCAAAACGCCAAAATAGTGGGCATAGCGCGTAACGAAAAAAAAGCACTGTGCGTACGCTTTTCATCTTTTCTGTTAGTGCATTTAGCGGGTTTTAGATTTTAAAATGTGGCAATGTTTATACATTCGAATATTTTGATATTATGGTAAGTTCTACACAAGTTCTTTACTGCAAATTCTCTAGGTGTCTTTCATTACTGTCATTGAATTTCTTTTGTTTACATGTAACTCTTTTTTAATAAACCAAAATAAAACGAAGAATTTTGTGTATTATAAACCAATTGAAGGAAAAGTAAAATGAACATGAAAAAAACGCGGATGTCATTTCTAATATGGAACTAAGATTGACAATAGATAGATATGGATAGAAGTAAATGAGTTCAAAGATTCCATAGGGTAAAATCCCAAGATTTATCAGAATTCGTTATAAGACTGGTTAACTTCCCATACTCAAATGCAGAAGTAGAAAGAGCATTCAGAGCTATGAATTTATATAAATCGAAAATCAGAAACAGATTATCCTTAAATTCTGTAAATTCTATTTTACATATTAAATATGGCCTTCGTCGAGAGAATACGTGCTGTGACAAATATGACCTGCCGTCAAATGTCTGTAAACAAATTTCTACACAGGAAGTTTACAAAAAGTCAAACTATTTTTTACAAACTGTCTTATGGCAAAATGAAGAAACTGATGCAGACATTCCAACTGCATTTGAAGCTATGGGTTTTGTAGGTGAACATAATTGTTTGTAAAAATGTATATGTCTGCAAGTTTTAACCACATGTAAAATGTTCTTAATACAACATTCTTTGCGTCAATTGAATTTTGTACGGGAACAAATGCAAACGCGGTATGTCATTAAGCGATGTGACATCTCTGTCAAAAGTTATCATATTTTTTAAAAATATGTGTGCACTTATATACATGAAATGTTTATAAAAGATGCGAACTAAATTTTTGAATAAAACAGTATTTAGTTAAAAAAATGTTTTATTGACAATTTTGCCATTTGGTTAGAAAAAAATAAATAGCGCTTTTTACGCTTTTTTAAGGAAAGTTTTTACGCCATTTACGCTTTTCTGGTTTTTAATTACGCTTCTAGCTCTCAAAATGTTGGCAACACTGTTTGTCCCATATTTTATATATATTTTTCTCAATTGATGACTTTCTTTTTTCTCTCTTATGGAAGTTGCCACCGTTTGCTGAGCTATCTTCTATTTATCTTTCTCCCTCTATATCCTATTTAGAATCTCCCTCTCTCTCTATCTTATATACATTTTTTCATAGACAACAATAGGTTAGAACTATTTAATAGAAAATTTAGGATAATTCTTTTAGTGAATTTTGTCTCTCATTTGCACTTCTTATATAGATGCCCTCTCTCTCTCTCTGTTATATGATTTTTTTTTTCAATGAAAAAGCTTTACCACATTTCATAGAAATTTTAAGATGATTTTTTTATTGAGTTGTGTCTCCCATTTTTATTTTCTCTCCCCCCCTCTCTCTATCTCTTTCTCTCTCTCTGAGTTACATATACAGCCTGTTCCACGATGTCGAAAGAACACGTTCGCACAACTTTTACACGACAAACAGCTGATTTCCGTTCCACTAAAATCCATCAGAACGAAAATTTGCACGAAAATCAAAGCGAACGAAAACGTAAGCGTTTCAGTGTAATTTTGCGTTCCACTATCTTTTTTCTTCCGTACGCATGCGAACACAAATGTCAAAATCAGTCACTTGTGTGTTTGCTGTCGAATGATAAAAATTAAGGAAAATTGTTTTAACATAAACATTCCTTGATTGAAAATGGAAAGAAAAATGTAAGTAAAAATAATAAATGCAATTTAATCTGTGAACAACAAATATATATTTTTTTATTTTCTCAATTCCAGCACGAAAAAACTACACAGCTGCGGGCACTAGTTGAGTATATGGGGGAGAATCCTAAGTTCGCCAGAGGTGTGCCAATTTTTGGAAGCAGCAGGCAATCCCATGAAGACCACTGGAAGACACAAACCTAGAAAAAATCATTTTTTTATTATTTCAAAAATGTAAAAATACAATCATACTTACTGGTTGTTAGGTACTTCAAATAAATTCGAAGCATCTCTTAAATGCCTCCGTGGCACAATTTGAACTTCCTCCTCATCATCCATAAAAAATAGGGCTACAGAAATATTCATTTTTTTTCTTTTTTAAGAACACAAATAATCTGAACACAATCACTAGAAATTTTATTTTGTTTGTTTATTTACAATTTGTTTGTTTACAACTGAACTGTCAGTTGAGACAGAGCCATTGCTGCTTTTTCGCGTTTAAATTAGACATTTGGCGCTTTTTTTTGCCTTATTTCGCGATTAATTTTGCCAAAAAATATTTTGCAACACTGAATCACGTAAGGCTATGCGAAAGAAAGAACGAAAGTTAGTGGAACGCATTCTTATGCGAAAGTGAGTGAGTAGCCTTCGTTCGCACAAATTTTCTTTCGAGATCGTGGAACAGGCTGATAGTTTCCCTGCCATCTGTCCCACATTTTTCATTTTTTTTTATTTTTTCCTAAAACATCTTTTGTCAATTAATGACTTTCTTCTTCTTCTTCCTTCCTTCTTATGGAGGTTTATATAATATGTCTTCACTCAATTATGTCCATTCAAAGTTACCTTATTAGCGATTTCAATTAAACGTCTATAAAAGGACTTTAAAAATCAGCTCAAATGCCAATGAGTTGGTCGAACAAGTTTGCAGCAGGAATAGATTTCGAAAAAAAAACACAAAAACTTGAAATTTTTTAACCAAACAATGGACGGGGGACAATTTTGAAGTTTTGAAAAGTTGTTTGGAACAGCAACTTAAAACGTTGACATTAGAGGTGTTGTTGTTGTTTTTTGTTTTTGTCATGTCAGACAATGGAATTGAGCTGCAGTCAGCCAGTCTATGAAGTCTGTAGACATAACCTCAACCTCCAAGAAGCCATTGTCATTTGTGAAAAGATGATAAAAATGCAATTAAATGAGTTTTTTAAAAAAAAAAAAACAATAACGAAATATAATTGTTGTTATATATTAAAAACAACAACAACAACAATTACAACAATCAAACACAGCTTGGCCAATTGGGGAGTAGTAACAAAACACAAACCATTTCTTAACCAAGTTTTTTTTTTTTTTTTTTTTGTGTTCCAACAAAATGCACTAATTTTTCCTTAACCAAAGGCGAATGGAAGAAATGAAGAAGAAGCAGAAGAAGTTTGGTTGGTTGTGAATGGGAAATGTTGTTGGCTGCATGTTTGCATGCAATTTCAGTTTTTTTGCAGTTTTCTTCCAGCGAACAGAGGGGGAAATGCACACACACTCTGCTTTGCATTACTCTACACCTCCCTCCCCCTCCCCAGCCACTTAGCAAAACAAACGCAGTTTTCAAATCAAAAATCCATCCAAATGAAAAATGCACCTTATAAAAGCTATGGACTGGACATGTTGCGAAAACAATTGATGTTTAGGTACCGTCGTGAAATGTACGCGCTCAAGTTGAAATACGTTTATACAGCTTTGCTGATTGTAAGTAGCAAGAAAAAAAAAAACACCACACAAGCGAGATGGATGGCCCACGGTCTTGAAATTTGAAAATCCAAAAAAAAATCGACAAAAACAAGAACAAAATATGGTTATCCTGTCTGACAACAGGAACTGGCGCCCAACGCGGTGTTTCCTTTGCCCCCAAAACTGGATTATTGTGCATTGAAGTGTTGAAAATCGCAAAAAAAAAGTGGAAAAAATGAAAAAAAAAATAAATCCGCAAACAAGTCATAAATATCCAATGACAAACTCTCCAATTCAATGTCAGGATAATTAAAGAAAAAAATCGAAAAATTCAAAAAAAAAAACTTGAAAAACAGAAAACCAGAAAAAAATTATTTAATCGCTCTGCTCTGCTTAATGTTTGTCTATGTGTGTGTGTGTGTGTGTGTGACTAAATGTTCAATTAATTGCCATCAATTACAAGCAGCACAAAATTCATTCATTCATTCATCAGTTTATGGCCGATCCATTGTGTTAATGAACTCTTTTCGATTGTAAACACCCAACAACATTGTTGTTGTTGTTTTTTTACTTAAGTTGCTGGTGCTGCCTGTCGGCTAGTCCACCACCAGCCAACAAAAGTTGGCATTAATTATAAACCAAGCGTGCCAAATATAAATCAAATCATGAGTTTTTTTTTTAAAGAAAATCCAAAAAAGAAAGCGAAAGTGGCAGCTGGAGTCAATAACTTTTTAATGAGGAAGTGCTTAGAATTTGGAAAAGGAAGGGAAAAAAGGAAATTATTCTGAAAAGGAACAGAAAATCATTATCTGCTTCAAGCAAAAGGATTACATTGGCAGATATATCTTAAGGACTCTCTTTCCCTCTCTCTCTCTTCATTTTAAATAGTTATCTGTCAGCTTTCTCTAGTTTTTTTGTGTTACTTCAAAAGTCTCTCATTTTATCAGCTAAAAGGCCTGAGGTACAAGTACCTTCAACAGTTTTTTTTTTGATTCTACGGAGCCCCCCAAATCATCAACTTCTGGTCCACAACATGAGATGAACATGCCTCTACCGGATATAAATACTGAGTCTTCCTCTGGGTCCATGGTCTAGTCATCTATAAAACATCTCTTTGATCCTTAGGAGCCACAGGATTGGCTTCAAATTCCACGTAGAGGCCCTATATTTAATTATCTATACAGCCTCTCTCAGGGTCTGGGGTTTAATAGTTTTTAAAAGCTTTTTCTGCCTTTGGATTTTCCGGAAAGATTGGCTTCTATAGGCCCTTTGGTGCCCCCAGAATTATTGACTTCAGGTCACTCACGAAGCGCTAGTTTAAATTTTTTACACAGTCTCCCTCCGGGTTTGACGTCTAATCAGTTCCAAAAGCTCGCTTTGGCCCTTTACAGCCTCCCCAGAGGGATTGACTTCTATTGGCCTTTTAAATCCTCAAAAAATTTAGGAGTTTTCCTTCGGGTCTTATGTCCAGTCAACCGTAGGGCCTTTTTTGGAATTGCCTATAGTGGCTCCCTCCGGATCTCAGGTCTAATCATATTTTACGTGCTCTCTCTGGCCCCTTGGCGCACTCATAAGATGTGACTTCTTTTCTTGCTTACGGAGTTTACCTCCGGTTCTAAGGTCTGATCATATTTTACAAGCTCCTTTTGGCCCTTTGGTGCCCCAGAAGGTTTAACTTTTATTGTCCCTCTAAATCCCCAAAAGAATTGTCTTCAGGTCACCCAAGACTTTTAATTGTCTTCAAAGTGCTCCCAAAAGAATGGACTTATATTTGCCCTTTGAACTCCGAAAAAAGGTAATCCAAAAGGTTCAATTGTCTTCAAAGTCTCCCTCCGTTCTTTTAGAGTTGCCTACAGTGACTCCCTTTGTTTTGAGGTCTAGTCATATTTTCCGAGCTCTCTTTATTCCTTTGGTGCCCTCACAAGGATTGACTTCTATTGGCCCAAAAGAATCTAACCCCCAAAAGAATTGGATTCAGGTCACTCAAGAGGTTTAATTATCCACAGAGTCTCCCAACAGGTCTGAGGTCTAGTCATTTTTAAAAGCTCTCTTTGGCCTCTCGGAGCCCCCAGAAGTATTGACTTCTTTTGGTCCTTTAGAACCCCCAAAAGGATCGGTATAAGGTCTCCACAGAGGAAGTTTTTTTAATTTGCATGCCACTCTGCCAGAGGTAGCCACTCTGGTTCTATTGGTCCAGTGAATCCTAAAAAAAGATTGATTCAGGTCACGCAAAAGGATTAACTGTCTTTCAAGTCTCTCCGGTTCTGAAGTCTAGTCATCTATTACAATCTCCCTTCGGCCCTTTAAATCTCCAAAAGGATTGGTTTTAGGTTCGCAAGAGGTTTCATTTTCTACAGAGTCTCCATCCGGTTCTGAAGTCTAGTCTTTGGTCCTTTAAAACCCCCAGAAGTATTGACTTCTTTTGCCCCCTTGGAACCCCTGAAATGATTAACCGTAGGTCAACCATAGAGGTTCTGTATTTCATTGCCTATTGAGTCTCCCTCTGGATCTCTGGTCTAGTCATCTTTAAAAGATCTCTTTGGCCCTTGGGAGAACCCAGAATGATTGACTTCAGGTCACCCCAAAGAGCACCTCTATTTAACTGCTTACAGAATCTCCCTTGGGTCCCTGAGGTCTGGAGCCTTAAAAAGCTCTATTTTACCCTTTGGAGCACCCAGAAGTATGGAATTCTTTGATTCATTTGAATCCCCCTAAAAGTACTGGCTTCGGATCACCTATGGAGGTCCTATTTTTAATTGCTTACGGAGTCTCATCAATAAGAGCTCCACTCAGCTTATTTAGAATACGTCTTTTGGGCCCTCCTAAAGATGTGGCCGTTAGCTCATATCGAAAAGACTTCCTTTAACTCGTTTTCCTTCAGCTCTTTTCGAAAAAATTGCTCCTTAGCTCGTTTTGCGAGAATCCCCTCAGCTCCCTTAAGCTCGTCTATAAATATACATTTCATCTCATTCCGCAAGACTTTTTTTCAGGTCGTCTTAAAAAACTTCCTTCAGCTCGCGTAGTTAGACTCCCTTCAGCTTTTCTAGAAATACTCCCTTCAGGCCGCCCAGGAAAACTCCCTTCAGCTCGTCTAAAACGACTCCCTTTAGCTCATCTAAAAAGACTCCCTTTAGCTCGTCTAAAAAAGACTCCCTTCAGCTCATCTAAAAAGACTCCCTTCAGATCGTCTATAAAGACTCCCTCCAGCTCGTCTATAAAGACTCCCTCCAGCTCGTCTATAAAGACTCCCTCCAGCTCATTTATAAAGACTCCTTCTAGATCGCCTATTAAGACTCCCTCCAGATCTTCTATAAAGACTCCCTTCAGCTCGTCTATAAAGACTCCCTCCAGCTCGTCTATAAAGACTCCCTCCAGCTCATTTATAAAGACTCCTTCCAGATCGCCTATTAAGACTCCCTCCAGATCTTCTATAAAGACTCCCTTCAGCTCGTCTATAAAGACTCCTTTCAGCTCCTCTTGAAAGACTCTCTTTGGCTCGTCTATAAAAACTCCCTTTAGCTCGTCTATAAACACTCCCTTCCACTCGTCTATAAAGACTCCCTTTAGCTCATCTAGAAATATGGAAAGGCAGCCTTCAGTTTGTCTCAAAATACTCCCTTCAACTCGCTCGAAACACTCTCTTAAGCACTCTCAGCAAAAATTAATCCCCTGAAAAATTTTTTCTTCCGCTTTTCAGATAACCCTCCTCGATTTCAATGAGGCCATAGCAAATGGTAAAAGTCGACGTCGTTATGGACCCGCCACAGCCTCCTCCAATGCAAAGAGTGCCGCCATCAGTGATGTTACGGAAAAATCCAAAGCCGGTCAAGTGGTGGCAGCCAGCAGTCACACAGAGCCGAGTCAATATCGCAGAGGTGGTGCCTATTCGACAGATGCGGGAGGTGAGTTGTAATATCTCTCTCTCTCTCTCTCTAATTTTCTCTGTCACACAAAATATTCTCTCTCTCTCTTTTCCTCTCCTCCAGATTACTCCTACAACAATGCCGACATAAATCTGATACGACCCGAAAGCAAGCCTTTGCACACGAAAATCACTGCCAAATACACGAGCAGTATCAGCATACCGGCCGATTCCCTGGAGGATACTGAGACGGCCGAGGAATATGTGGCCAAGGCCATGGGTATGTATGGTTCTCGCCTAAGGGAACCCATACGCATTCCCAGTGAAACGGAGGTGACGCCAGCGACACCGGAACAGTCACAGGCGCCAGTCATACAACAGACACACAGCCAACAGCATACACGACATTACGAACAGGAACACCACCAACAGCAGGAGCAACAGCAACACCATGAACATGAACAATTACAGCAACAACAACACCACTCCCAATCCTACCACCACCACCACCAATCACTGCAACAAGAACCCGACCATAGCCTACAAAACATACACGAGCATGTCGAAAAACCCGAACACTATGAATACTACTCCTTTTCACACAAGGATGCCCATAGACCTCAGGCCTCCAGCCAAGCTGAGGCGGAGGAGGCGGCCCAGAATCCTTCCCAGCAATATCAGTACATAAGTCAAGCCCAGGCCGAAAATGAGGCAGCCAAGGCAATGTTAGAAGCTCAAATGCAGGCCCAGTTGCAGGAGCAGTCACAACAAGCCCAGGCAGCAGACCATTATGGAGAAGCCGCTGGCGAGCACCAAGAACAACAGGTCCAACCCCAGGCGGAGCAAACAAATGCCGAATCTGAAAATAATGCCGCTGCCTCGGGTTATGACAAAGATCCCGTTACCCGTTCCTACAACATCTACGAGGATCACACGGAGGCTTACGAGGGAGCACCATCCCACTTGGAACGAAACTATCGCACAAAGTATCTCTACAAACCGGTATCCTCCAGCTATCACTCTGCCATCAATGAAAACGAGGAAAAGATACGAGTCTCAGCCTCCACAGAGATACCTAAGGCTGAGATAATGAAGCAAATTGAGAAATCAGTAATGCGTTACATGAAGGAGCTGGAGGCGGAGGGTAAAATTATTGCTGCTCCCAAAAATCAGGAACCCAAAACCTATTTCAAAGTGGTCACAGTACCCGGCAGTGAAGAGAAGCGGATTGCCTCGTCTTCCCTTTCGAACAAATCAAAATACTCAGTGGCGCCCGGTAATTATGGAGAGGGCTACAAGCACTCCATTGTCCATGCCCCGGCAGCTGGAGGACCATCTGGTGCCCCGTCCCATTCGTCTGGCAAATACAACAAAAATTCCGAAACCAAAAATGCCTATGTTCTGGAAAATGAAAGTACCTATCAAAATCAGGGTCATGAGGTAACCGATGTACTGGCGCCCAACGTGGAGTTCATCTACAAAATCAAAACCAAGGCCCCATTGCACACGGCCACCGTGAAAACCGTATCGAAACCCTATAGCCTGCCGCTGAAACCCAGCTATGAACAATTTGACCACTCCACAGCCTTGAAGAATTTGGAAGATTTTGACCTATCGCATGTGGTTACCACACCTGACCCCGACGACCATCAGTCCATATCGAGTGCCTCGACCAATAAACCCAGTAAATTATACTTCAATTCGGAAATCTATCATGACATCAACTCCATGCCGTACAAACAAAAGCAACGGGCCGAGGCGGAATATCGTCAGGAGTATCGTAAGAAAGCAGCCAACAATCAAGAGCCTCATTCAGATTACAAGGGTTACAGTACGGCCACAAGTGGTTATTATGCTGAGCCACCCACAGCGGATGGAGATCGTGATATTTCTGGAAGTTCTGGAATGTCAGAGGATGGTTATCCGAGTATTATGTCGGCGCCGTATCAACAATATGTGCTGAAAAAGGAAGCCCTCTCCTCGAAATATGAAGACGGCCCCGCCGGCCCAGGCTATGAACAGAATCGCAATCATAAATACAAAAATCTAGAATTCGATAGTTATAATCCCAAATACAACAACAATCCTGAAGGTTATGGCTATCAGCAGACCTACAAAACCCATTTGACGAGAAGTCATGCGCCCGGCAAGCGTGGCAAACGTGGTGGTGCCCCCCATCCAAGTCAAACGAAGAAGGCACATCGCAACGCCAACATGAAGGAGTTTGAGGCCAACATTGCCCTGCGTCCACCACCCAAAGTCTGAGAACGTTGCAATAGCGGGAATTTGAGATTCCAAATTTTTTAGCCAAAAAAAAAACGAACGCAATATTTTGTATTTTATATAGGAAGTTATGAATTGTTTAATTATTTATTGTTTTTTTATAAATTATTTATATTTGATTTAAAATTTTTTAATACGAATTTTATTATTAGTGATGATGTGTTTTAAATTTGTATTTTTTATCCTACATTTTTTATTTATTTTTTTTTTAATATAATTTTTAATATTTTTTTAATGTATGAAATGATTTTCTTATTGTGCGCCTAAGAGTATGCCCTGGAAATGGAATTTAAAAGCAACAGTTTGTGAATGATTGGTCATGGCATGCACAGAGTTGTTATTGTGAATTGTAAACAAATAATCACAAACAGCTGATTGTGTGATTGAGGGGGATTTATTCACAATGGAGGCAATTTTGGTTATTGATTGACCTGCTCCATGGGCTTTGTTGTCAAATGGTTCCTGAAGGCATAGGAGAACACAAATAATACATTTTTTTCACAGAAGACTGTTTTTTGAGCCTCTTTTAAGACTAAAAATTTCTAACGGGAATTTTTTTGTGAAGAGAGAATTTTTGTTTAAGCCGGTATCGGATTTTTAATATTCAGGAGAGCAGGATAGTGGTAAAATAAGGAGAATATGTTTTGGGAGGGAGAATATCATTTGTTGTGAGTCTGTCTCGGACCACTACAGATAGTTAAAGAAAAAATCGACAGACATTGTCCAGAAAACACCATCGAAACGCCTGGGCCTGTTCTCTGTCAGGAACTTAATAAAGAATATTCAGAGGGGCATCTTGGGACATTTTTTTAAATTGATAGGGTTCTAATGAGAATGTACTTATATCTCCTACGAAAGGTCCCACATATCTTCTTCTAGAATTCCCCGTGTAAGGCTAAGTCAATCAGGGGTCCGCTAATAATATTTACAATATGGAGAGTCTTTGATGGGTGGGAGGACCTGCAAAAAGTGAAAGGTATCTATTGTCCCATATAGGAAGGTAGAATCATACCACTATAAATATTCTAGGAAAAGATCCTAGGCCCTTCTTCAGGAAAAGGTTCGTAAAGATATCAATAAATAGTCGCCGAGAATATTCTCAGTGTAAATACTGAGAACTCATTTCCGAAAATCAATAGCCTTCCATAGACATTGTACACATATCTTCAATGATAAAAGCAACAATTGGACGTTCGTTCGTTGATTAGATCAGTATATCTGCTTTATTGAAGATTTGTTTATCTCCTTTCTTCTTTAAACGAAGGGACGATCTACAAAATACATATGTATGAGAAGATTTGGAGGGGAAGATTTTTTAGAAAGGGCGCCATTTTTCTTTCTCGTTTTTATTTATTTTTTATAATAATTTGACCTCCTCCACTTTCAAGTCTTCATTATAGCGCCGTTTTCGACGGATTTTTCGGGACGAAAGATTATTTTAAATACATGTTTACATTGGGCTTCTCAGATTTGTATGAGATCTTCTCGGAGAAAGGAAAGGTCTACAGAATACAGATCTATGAGAAGATTAATCGGATTTTCGTGAAAAGATTTACGATTTTTTTGAAAGATGCAATCTTGGGAGCCATTTTCCTTCGAATTTTCGTGACGCAGGTTTATTTTAAATAAATTTCACATTGGGCTCCACAAATGTTTATAAGGAAATCTAAGGTTTATTATTAGAAAGATCTACAAATTTGTATGAGACGAGCTCTGGGAAATTTCCAAGATCTTCCAGAAACGGAAAATCAGATATTATTCAACATTGGGCACCATGTTTCTAATTGTTTATCTCATTGTTACACCCTTTTCATCCTGATTCCTGTGACGGAGTTTTGGTTAGTTTTTTAATAATTCAGATTGGTCGCCACAGATTTTTATGAGAACATCCAATATTTTTTTTAATATCTGCAAATTTTTATGAGTCGTTCTCGGAGAAATTGCTAAGATCTTCTAGAAGATGAAAATTCAGACGTTATTAATCGTTTTTCTTTATTGTTATCTCATTGTTAATAAAATTTCACATTAGGCGCCACAGATTTTTATGAGAAGATCCAAAATCTAAGATCTTCTTTTGATATTATTCAACATTTTTGTTTTATTTTTTAACCTCATTGTAACGCCGATTTCACCCTGATTCCTGTAAGGAGCATTGGCTATGATTTTTACATAAATTTCTCATTGGACACAACAGTTTTTTTTTTTTTTTTTCTTTTTTTTTTTGAGAGCATCCAAGGATTTTTTTCTTCAAAATATCTGCAAATTTTTATGAGATCTTCATGGTAAATTTTAACAATTTCTCAGAAAAAGTAAAACCATACATAATTCCATGTTGGGCGCCATTAATAAACTTCTATCAGTTATTGAGCGTCTCAGCTCATTGACAACATACCAGTATGTTTTATATTAGAGATCCTCATTGTGGCGCTGATTTTTACATCGAAGCTCTTCTTTCGTATTTATAAAGAAATTTTGCATTGGGACCCACTTTCATTTTGCCTTTCGCCTTCAGGCTCTCGTAGTAACACATTTTTAAAAAGTTTCGATACCATTTTCAAGCTAATTTCTGCAACGAAAAATTAGGAAATAATTATACAATTAAATTTCACGTTGGGCGCCACAACATCCATAACCTTATTGCTCCAATATTAGTTACGACATTAAAGATTTTTCTGTAGGCTTTTTTCTACACTTTGCGACTACTTTCGTGAATATGGCCTTTTCCATTGAAGTTCATCTGGGTCAGGCGTTGTAGCCACAACCCAGGGATTAACATTTTCCAATTTTTTTAAAACTATGAAGTTATTTTATTGGCTTAGGGCTATTAGATATATATGCTGTTTTATGATATCCAGATCCCTGCCATTGATTTCTCATTGGGCGCCACTATATCAGTCTTTTCATCCCCCAGTTTTTTTGTAAAATCTAAATTTTAATAAAAAAAGCATGAAAAATGTAATACTTTTTATTCTGACCATAGATATTGGGCGCCACCAAGATTTTCACTTCACTACCGGAAAGTGAATATGGCCATTTCCATAGCGTTTATTCTGGGTCAAGCGTTGTAGCCACATCTAACGGATTAAAATCTCCCAAATTTTTTACAACTATTAAATTATTTTATTAGCTTAGGGCTATAAGATATGCCTTTTCTGCGGTATACGGATCCCTGCCATTAATTTCCAAAAAAAAACTTCAGTTGGGCGCCACTATACCAGTCTTTTCATATCTCTGATTTTTGTTATTCATTTTAATAAAGTAAAGCATAAAAAATGTTATGCATTTAGTTAAGGCCACAAGTATTGGGCGCCACCGAGAATTTTCTTTTAAATTCCCTACCCAAAAGTAGGCAATGCAATCTTCACAGAGGTTGGGCGTAGCGGAGTTCTTATTTTATAAGTGCACTTCACGTTGGACTCCACTAAAGTAAGGTTTCATTTTCGAAAATATGCTTCAAATACTGCACCGGGGACAATAGATCTTTGGCTTTACCACAGATATTCGGCGCCACAGAATATTTTATTTTGTTAAAAAAGGAAACCCGATGTAATCCATTTTTCTTTGGTACAAAGGGAAGTAGGTTTTTACAGAGGACTTTTAGTTTTTATTTTATTAGTGACTGTATCCCACGAAATTATTGAGGCGTGACCTTATGTCTTTCCAATAGATTTTTTAGGTTTTTACCAAAATTATTGGGCGCCACAGAGAGTTTCGCTATCGTGGATATGGAGTACGAGGCAATTATTTTCTCTTCGCTGCCCAAAAGTAGGCAATGAGTTTTGAATGCCTTTTTTTGATTTCATGAGTAAATTTTACGTTGGGCGCCACTACAACTTATGGTTACTTTATGGTTATGTGGTTTGAAAATCTTATGAGGTTGCATAGAAAGCTGATGGAATCAGCGGCAGTGATCCTACAGTCTTTGGTAGAACGTTGGGTGCCTTTTTTTGATTTCATGAGTAAACTTTACATTGGGCGCCACTAAAACTTATGGTTACTTTATGGTTATGTGGTTTGAAAATCTTATGCGGTTGCATAGGAAGCTGATAGAATAAGCGGCAGTGATCCTACAGTCTCTGGTAGAACGTTGGGTGCCTTTTTTTTGATTTCATGAGTAAACTTTACATTGGGCGCCACTAAAACTTATGGTTACTTTATGGTTATGTGGTTTGAAAATCTTATGAGGTTACATGGGAAGCTGATAGAATATGCGGCAGTGATCCTACCGTTTCTGGTAGAACGTTGGGAATTCAATAAATATTGAAATGTTTTAAACTAATTTTGAAGGAATCAAATCAATCAATCAATTTTTAGAATTGAATTTAAGCTTTTTTAAGAATTTCCTAATAGCAGGTTTTATTTATACCAATCCAATAATCGTATTTTTATTTATTTATTTATTATTTATTTATTTAATTATTTATTTATTATTTATTTATTATATTATTATTATAATTATTATTATTATTATTATTTTTTTTTTTTTTTTGAAGGACCTGCCTGACCAATATTCAGTAATTTTTTCCTCGTGGTGGCAATTAATATAGCTTTTTGAAAAGTATTTTTGGAAGGGTCGTCAGATTTATTGAAATACGTTATTTTATAATTTCTTAAAAACCATTTGACCAATTAGAATTTTGAATCCTTTTTAGTGGACCATCTAATGAAATATCGTGGATTTTTTATTAACTTCTGAAGATCTACCGATACTTCTGAAGATCTGTCGTGGATTTTTTAAATCATTTTTTATAAAGAAGCACTTAAGATTTTGTCATTATTTATTAAAGTAATATTTTATTTAGGTATTTTATTAAGGTCGAAAGTAGACCCCTAAAAGTATGCTCCATTTTTTTTTTTTTTTTGTAAATAAAATCCATTGAAATTATATTTTTTATTTATTTTATTAAAACACGAACAGTACAGTTAACAATAAGTCTTAAATCATTTCTAGAAGATATTTTTAAAATTTGGCAAATTGTTTTTTTGTTTTCCAACAAAATTCTCTTAATTTTGAATTTCTTCATCCCTCTCTCCTAATCTCTTCTGTAAACTCTATTCATGATGATAATATTGTTCATAATGAGCTGAGTGTTCATGATGTTCGGGTTCCTCTTCATGGTGGCCAATATCGTGGAATTTCGATTCACTGTGTTCCTCCAAAACCAAGCCATGATTGTGATTCTTTTTCGTCTCAGGATGGAGGATCTTCAACTTTTGTTTGGTGCCACCGATTTCCACAGGTTTCTTGACCAAATGTTGATCTTCTTTCTTGATGTAGACGGGGACGGCATGGTAATGATGAAATTTAACACTCTGATGGGAGGTGGCATGTTTGTGTTCAACTTCATGGTGGACCTCAGTGTCCTCGCCACCATGTTCTCCCTCGTGTTTGTATTCGGCATATTCATGGATTTTCAGGGCAGCTGTGGTGGCCACAAGCAGGGAGCAAATTACCTAAAAAAAAATAAGGATCAGTTTTGTTGGATGATCTAATCTCCATTCCCCCCAAAAAAACACTTCCTTACCAAAAATTTCATCATATTGTTTTTGTTGTTGTTATTTATTTGGCTTATATAAATATGTATGTAGTTGTTGTTGTTGTTTTTTATATTTTTTGTCTTGAGCTATAAATTTAACTGCACTGTTAACTTTCTTTTATGTTAAACACACTGAACGCTTCCTAGACACGCGATTCGTATGGGGAAGAGATCACAGCGATATTTTGATATCACAACTGGCTGGAGTTGTTTTTTGTGTTGTTGTTGTTCGTTTCTTTGATTTTGGGCTTAGAGTACGTTGCTCTAAGACGATTTGGCTTTGACTGTGATTATGGTAGGAATCCAGATTCGATTTATACCCCCAGCTAGCAGCCAACAAACATGGATATGGATGGAGCCGTAGCCAGCCAGCCATCCATCCAGGCAGCGCACTTCAAAAGCCAATAGTTGTTGTGCGGTACATTCACATTGACGTTAGATATGTAAATAAAGCCAGACATTGCTACAAACGTCTAGCAATAATCCAATGCCGTAACTGCCACCAACTCTGCCGGCGTCACTTTTTGTTACAGCTGCCGTTGGTGGATGCAGTAACAATTGCCGACTTGTCAGCCTGTTAAGCCATGGAGAAATGTTTTTTTTTTTTTCTTTTTCGTTGCCTTTCCTCCTGTCTAACGACTCCCAAGTTTTTTTTTTCATTTCTCGTGCACGACACTCACTCACTCGGCTCTTTGAATTTTCTTGTCACCTGCCATCATTTATTGTGCTTTATGAGATCTTTTACTTTATTCATTGACTGCGTTTACAAGCTCTTGGGGGGACTCCTTTTTGTTGCTCCTACGGCTGTTGCTGCGGCTGCCAGTTGTCAAAGACCTCAACGTGAGTTGTTACGTTATGTGAATGGCGGTGGGGGAAAAATCCTGATTGGGCAATTCCAAGGCAAAACAACTACTATCCACGAAAAGAAAATGGGGTTTTAGAACCAATTCCAGGACCGAGAACGACCCGAAGCAGATTGAAAATGTTAAGCTAGAAGACTGGCAGAACACCAAGGAGTAGCTCGCAGCATGTTCAGCTCCATCAACTTTGATGGATTCGCTCAGCCCACATCATTGAAAACTTAAGGCAATTTCTACTCCTTTCGAAATTAACGGCCTCATAACTCTAAGATAAACTTTCTCATAGACGTCCTTTTTTGAAGAAGTCGAAACAGTAGTTGAATGATGGTTTGACAGATTGACGGTTTGACAGAGCGAAAAAAGAAAGCACTCCGTCATCGCTAATTGCACTGGAATATTATTAAACTGACTTGATGGCTCCTTGACTATCGCCGTATACTGCCACTGTCCTTAAAAGTTGTTACTTTTAATTTAAACGTTTGTTCTCTCTTTTACCGTTCCAAAAGTGAATAGAGATATAGGGAGATAAGTCGAAAGAAGGTGATAAACTTAAGATTAACTAAAGAAACCAGATAAAAGGAAGGAACTAGATGCAAATAAGGAACTAGTTGAAAAAGTCCCCATTGATCTTTACGCGGAATAGTTCCTTTGAACTAGTTCATTGCAGAACGATACAACTATAATAAATGTGAGAAAACATAGAACACTTTTTTATCTGGTTTAAGTCGTCGGCTGGCTTCTTCGTAGAGGAACAAAGGAGTTTTAGACTGACTTAGTTCGATTTTGCCCCTAGGCTTCTTTGTTCTTTTCCAAAGAAGCCAGCCCATGACTTAAGGGTGGAAATACATAAAGCGCATATTTGGCTGGCTTAAGTCATCGGCTGGCTTTTCCGTAGATGAACAAAGGTGTTTTAGGTTGACTTAGTTCGATTTTGGCCCTAGGCTCCTTTGTTCATTTCCGAAGAAGCCAGCCGATGACTTAAGCCAGCCTGATAAGCACTTAGGGTGGAAATACATAAAGCGCTTATCTGGCTGGCTTAAGTCGTCGGCTGGCTTCTTCGTAGAGGAACAAAGGAGTTTTAGACTGACTTAGTTCGATTTTGCCCCTAGGCTTCTTTGTTCTTTTCCAAAGAAGCCAGCCCATGACTTAAGGGTGGAAATACATAAAGCGCATATTTGGCTGGCTTAAGTCATCGGCTGGCTTTTCCGTAGATGAACAAAGGTGTTTTAGGTTGACTTAGTTCGATTTTGGCCCTGGGCCCCTTTGTTCATTTCCGAAGAAGCCAGCCAGATAAGCGCTTTATGTATTTCCAGCTTAAAGCCAGTCAAAAAAAGCGTTTTATGTATTGGCACCTTTACCCACAGCAAATTCTTAATGCGGACTGCTCCGAGTAGACTTTAAAGTCGATAGGAATTCGGTCCTTTGCATAGTGTTTATTTCAGACAGAAGCAATTCAGTTTTAAGGGTTTCCTATGGATTTGTGGTCAGAATCCCCCCCAAGAGTGTCAAAAAATATTTTTTCGCGCTTCTCGTTACTTCTATTCTAATAGCCAGCAATTATTATGTGTCAAAAATGAGCCAACATCTTCCAATACCCAGGCGGATTAAGTAAAAACCAAATGCTTAATTTATAAATAAATTATTATTAAATTTATTTGTTATTTTTTCTTTTTATTCAATTTTACTTTAGAATATACACTCCAAACCTCTTATGTTCCCCAAACGTTTTTGCCAAAAAAAAAACACAACTAACTTAAATAACGGTCTGCCCCGTGAAACAATGAAATTTTTCCCTCACTCTCTGTACAACCAAAAGAGAAGTGGCATTCTAGATCAGTGTTGGCAAACACATGTGCTGTCGTAAACAGAGATGTGAAAAAGCAAAATACAAAAACATATACTACGTTTACAATGAGAAATCTATTGATATGTCATTATTAGAAAGGCATAACGGAAGCCAAAAAACACGTTATTAACTCAGCACACGAAGGGGATCGATCACACTGCGGAATTCGATAATGTGAAAATATTTAATAAAGGAAAATGAAAAACGAAAACGTTATTAATAACTATTAAGGAGCTTTTTTGACTGGGTTAAGACATCGACTGGCTTTTTCGGAAAAGAACAAAAGGAGCGTAGGTCAGATTTGAATGTTTCCAAGCGTTAATGTAACTACGCGCATTTGTCTACCATATCTCTTACCATGTCAGAAAAATACAGGTAGATGCATCAACGCTTGGGAGCTTTGATATGTCAATATATTTTAAATGTATTTTCAAATATAAGTAGATTTTTATATGTTTTCTCATTCGACGTCATTCGGAGGTAATTATAATTCGCGTTTTTCAAAACAATTTTTACAAATTTAAGTAATTTTTCATTCAACATTTTCAATTCCAAAATTGGTTTGACAGTTCATTGTCCTAGCAGCTGTGTCGACGCGTCTACCTATATTCTTCAACCATGAAACGTATATTCTCTCTATTACAGTTTAAAATGTGAGAAAAAGAGATAAGTCAAAGGTAAATCACTTAAAATGAACTAAAGAAACTAGTTAAACGGATGGAACCAGATGCAACAAAGGAACTAGTTCTCATTGTTCCTTTGAACTAGTTCTTTGCAAAAAGACACAACCATGGTACAATTAAGAAGTTAAAGCCATTTCGAATAAGCTTACCCATCTCTGCATTATGCCTTTTATGTATTCTCACCTTAAGAAAAAAATATTATTTCCATTTCCAAACAATTTTGAAATCTCTCATAAAAACAACATCACACGTTGTTGCATTTGACTTCGATCTGGTTAAATCATTTGTTTGTTGATCATTTCATTAATTCGGATGGAACGTGCGTGTCGACTGAATATAAAAACGTGTATCAATTGCCTGCAAAAAACGCATTCGATGCGAATTTCAGCGCCATTCTCTTTAGTGGCGGTTTTTTTTGCAGCTTGCATTGCTGGTTACAGCTTAACATAACACAACAACGTTTGAAGAAACCGGTATCAAAAGAAAAAAACAACAACTCAACATCTTTTTTGCTTTTTTCTTCAATAAATTGGCCAAAAAATCAAAGCAAGTGCAAGGTAATTACGCGTAAAAATTTAAACGTCAAAAGACACAACAAAACGATTTTGGCCAAACGGTGTGTTAAGGACAGGTTTGGAAATCAAATGGAAGACACAGTAGTAATGTGGTTTGTTTGCCCACAACATGAAAGAGACACAATTGGAAATAGTTTTGCTTGGATTTGTTGTTTTTTTTTTCAATTTTTTTCCAACATGTCATGTTAAATAATCTGGTTTATTGAGTTATCAAAACGGCAGAGGATTTTCCCAAAAGCTAATTACATTTATGGTCAAGGAGATAGGTATTGAATTTTCATTTTCAGGATTTAAGGTGGGAATACATCGGCTGGCTTTCTCGTAAATGACCAAAGGAGCCTAGGGCCAAAATCGAACTAAGTCAACCTAAAACTCCTTTGTTCATCTGCGAAGAAGCCAGCGGATGACTTAAGCCAGTTAAATATGCGCTTTACTTGGGGAAATGGAAATTTTGCAGAATTTCCCCCAAACTGTTTATACCCACCTCGTTGCGAATAAACAATGTTGGGAATTGATATTGGTTTTTAATCTCTGTTTAATGGATTTGTTTTCGCCATTCGTTTTTGAGAAACCTTTAAACCGTCCCCTTGATGGGTTGTTGGGTTAGTAGATAAAAATGCAATTCCTTTGCCTTGCCTTGAATACCCCAGCCTTGCCAGAGTTGGGTTTATGCAGTTTATATCTTGCGATCATGCAAATAATTTTTAATACTCTTGGAAATTGACCAATTTTTTATGGCATCAACTTAAAAAGAGTTTCCTAAAAAATGATGGAGGGAAGGTGGTAGTTGTTGGTGTCACGAGTTTTAAGTGGTTACCACCATTTATGACACTTTGGCATAGTTTTGAATTCAATTTTTTTTTTTTTGTTTTCGCTGAATAATTTATGTTCCTGAGCTGGAGCTCCCAAAAAAGGAAAGTATTACACAAAAACCATCTGTGACATGTTTATTTTATACGAACGAATTTACAATGACGACGAAGTCAACAACGTCGGCGTGCGGCAAAGACATTTACAATACTTCCTTATTGCTTTGCCTATGCATGCAGCACATGCAAACATGCAAACAAACCCAAAATTGGACCATACCTGCTTGCTGCCACCATTATTATGTGGCCAAAAAATATGGGATAATCTTTGCAAAGCTTTGCTCTGGCTGAACATAATTTGTACTGCGAACGCGTGCCCAAACCGGGTCATCAAGATTTGACAATCAAAGAAATGACTGCGAATGGTTTGGAATTTATTTATAACCACCATATGATACCATAAATAAAAATAATTGGACTATAGCGGATTTCAAATGGAGAAGAACGGATTATGGGTGAGAATACATAAAACGCTTTTTTGACTGGCGTAAGTCATCGGCTGGCTTCTTCATTAAAAAACAAAGGAGCGTAGGGATAACAAATATAGATAATAGGCCGAAATTGAGTTTTAGGTTAACTTAGTTCGATTTTGGTCCTTTGTTCTTTCCGAAGAAGCCAGCCAGAAAAGCGTTTTATATATTCTCACTTTAAAGGTAGGAAGAAAGGCTTAAGATTGACAATACATAAAGCGCATATTTGACTGGATAAAGTCATCGGCTGGCTTCTTCGTAGATGAACAAAGGAGTATTAGGTTGACTTAGTTCGATTTTGGCCCTAGGCTTCTTTGTTCATTTCAGAAGAAGCCAGCCGATGACTTTAGCCAGCCAGATAAGCGTTTTATGTATTCCCACCTTAAGTCTTGGCTTTTTCCTAGAGGAGCAAAGGAGTTTTAGGTTGATTTAGCTCGATTTTGGTATTAAAATTTCGGCCAAGCTTCTTTTCACTTCCTTATCTTTAAATTTGGGAAGCCTTAAATTGAAAATACATAGAAAGATGTTTTACAGGCTTCAGTCATCGGCCGGCTT